ACAGAGAGCAAGGCCAGGGTCTGCATGCAGAAATGCTCATGCTTTTTCTCTCTTAAATGCACATTACAAGCATTGCTCTTTGCTATATTGATCAAGTAATTTTGAAGGTGATGTGCTATCTGCATCTCTCTGCCACTGGCCCCCAACCCCCAGCAGGCAGGTCAGTGCAGCTCTGGCTTAGGTACTAGGAAATGAAGAAGAGTAAGAGAAAGTGATTAGTCTTGAAACGTATGCGTTTTAATGTAATTGACATTGATTTAACCGCTGGTTGAATTTTTGAAGACAAAATTCAATAAAAAATGGACTGTTGATATCTTTCTTACTGCTGTCTGTTGCTGATTCTACTGCAAAATGCAACAATTTGGAGGCAGTGAGAAATGAAACAAGGCAGATCTGTTGCTGTGCCCTCTTCCTCGTGCTCTGTGTGGCATTGCAGCACTTGGGCTGTGCAAGCAGGGCAGCAGCGGGAGCAGAAGGTACCATGCTCATCAGCCCTGGCATCACCATCCTCTTTACTGCCCAGAACGTTGCAAGCTGCTTGTTGATCACTGTGAGCACAAAGGTAGGACATGCAGATCCAGCTAATGCCAACATCTTCATTTCACATTTGAGATCTTGCAGTCAGAGCTGTGTCACCCTCTGCAGCACACATCACTGCAGGGCCCATCACTGCGGGACACATTATTGCAGGACCCATTGCTGCGGGGCCCATCGCTGCACCCCCCTGGCCCTGCACTCCACTGGCTGCCAGCCCTGCTCTCTGGGCAGAGCATAGGTGAGAGGAGGCAGCAGAACAGCAGCTCCTCGGCTGCCGCCAGCCTCTTCTCCACCCAGTGCCCAACCTGCCACCCCCCAACCACTTCACAAGTCCTTCCCAAGCAGAAAGCAGCCCCCAAACGGAGACATTTTGTTTTTCTGATTTTTTTTTTAAATAAAAAATCATTGTGCTGTCATGCCAGTAATACGGCCTCCCCTGGTTACGGCACACACCGTGCTTTGTAGCTAGGCAGAGAACAGGCCTGCACTTCCCCTGCAGACTGCTATAAAAGCCAATTAAGTTGTTACTTAATTTTCCTCATTTTTTTTTTTTTTCCCCATTACACACAAGGGGAAGCAGCTGAAAGTCTCCCCTAGCAACAGTATGTAAAATTTAAAGTAAATTATCCCCAGTGATTCAGCTGGCTTATTGCTACAAATGCCTTCTGACTGTGGTGCATGGACACACTGAGCTGAGGAATGGGTCCATCCTAGAAAGCTCAGTGTCTACTTAAGGGGGTGCACAGAGTGCTTATGTTCATCATAGCTCTGATTACGTCCCAGCCCAGCTCTGCCTCAGCTAGCAGCTCTGGAGACAAATGGAGTGTCACTATCCAGCCAGGCAGGGAGCTCTGAGGTGCAGAAATCACACAAATATCCTTCTGCAAACCCAAATCCATGCTTATGCAGTTTTTGTTCATAGAATCATACAAGCATGAAGGTTGAAAAAGACCTTTAAGATCATCTTGTCCAACTACCACCACCCTGCCCACTAGACCGTATCCCTCTTAGTACTACATCTACCCTTTTTTTTGAACACCTCCAGGGATGGTAACTCCACCACCTCTGTGGGCAGCCCATTCCAGTGCTTCACCACTCTTTCAGAGAAGATTTTCCTAATGCCCAACCTGAACCACCACTGGTAAACTTGAGTCCGTTCCCACTCATCCTTCTTGAGCCGCATGGCCAGGAATAACACATTCCCTACAGCCATGTGTGTGTTTTCTCACCCCTTGTAGCTCAGGCAGTAAAAAAACGTGCTGCATCTCCTTCCACCCAGTGCCCAAAGCCTGAACGAAACATCAAGTAATTATTTGGCAACTGCTGCAGCAGCAGCTTCCTGTAGGTTATCTTAATGGATTTATCGCCCTGAACTAAACCCTGACCATCTGCTCTACTCTCTAATTACAAATACAGAAAGAACTAATTCACGACTGCATCATAAAAAAGTGAAGTAGAAATGATTGAGGAGCAGGGTAAGCTCTGCTCCTCCCTCCAGTGGGCTGTGCTCCCCAACAACAGCTCTCCTCTTCCCTAGTGAGTGGCAACTCCTGAGGAACGGGGCTCACCAGAACAGGTTTTGTTCCCTCTCATTCATTTGGTTGTATCGTTAAATCTGGGATTCACATAAATGCTGTTACAAATCTTTCCTTCTCTCTCAGATGATCCCCAAAACACGTAATGCATTTTCTAATCAGGAGAAGCACAAAATGAAGCTGATGAAAAATACCCTAAAACTCTTCATTTCCTCCAATTCACAGTGAAACCCCTTCACTCACTGAAGACATGTGGAGCCAGCGCCTGGCTTTGTGCTGCTCACTCATCTCCACCTCAGTGCTGCTGGCTTGCGAGAGCAGGGGCTGAGCGCCCGTTGCCACTGCCCAGGAACCAATCTACTGAGAAGGACCAATTCATAGCACATAGGTCAGGTCAGGAAGATGGGAGTATCTCAAAATGAGTTGCTTGGCCCTAGGCTTTGGAAAACTTTTTTTCCAGCTATCTAGAAACAGACTGTGATTTCCTCAAGTGCATTTGTTATTTGAGAAGTAAGAACTGTGTCAGAGAGCGGAGCAGTATGAGAAGTTGATTCACAGATAGAATGACAGAATCATAGAACCATCAGGGCTGGAAAAAACCACCGAGGTCACCCAGTCCAACCCCACCCCAACTCTCACCACACCCACATCCCTCAGGGCCACATCTGCACAGTTCCTCCAGGGACAGTGACTCCACCACCTCCCTGGGCAGCCTGTGCCAATGCACCACCACTCTTACTGAGAAGGAACTTCTCCTACCATCCAACCTGAACCTCACTTGGTGCAACTTAAGGCCATTCCCTCTCATCCTATTGCTGTTACCCGGGAGAAGAGGCTGTATGACAGCAGCAATCTACCATGGATAAATTGTGTATGAAGAGAGCCTATTTATCACAAAACATGCTAGTTTCTCAACTTCAGATATTAGATGTCATGAACAAAATCTCTCATATCTTGGGACACAGAGCAGAAACTTCACCTGTATCCTTTCTAATTTGTTCCCTAACACCAATTAAAATTAATGACATTTTGAAAATCCTTTTGACTCTAGAATATCCTTTTGACAGTTGGCCTTTAAGGACTCTTCTTTCAAGCTCTGTCACTAAAAGCTTCCTGTGTAGAGAAGCTGAATTAAAAAAGAATTTAATACACTCCATTGCTATTACACTTTTTGATGATTTTTTTTTTTTTTTTTTTTTAAATTTTCCCCACCAAATCCTTACACCCTTTTATAACTAGAAAGAGCTGCTCATTTGTTGAAGGACATAGGTTAACACAAAAAACTAATATCAGAAACAATGAGATAGTTTAGGGACATCTAATGGAGACAGCACGAGAAGAATAAAGCAGCACAGACAGGGCCTGCAGGCCGGGAGCTCCCTGGTGCCCCACTGCTCAGCCCATTGCAGCAGGGTGTGGGCTCCCCGGAGCAGCTTCTGCTCCACAGGAAAGCTGCACTGTGCTCTGGAGCAAGCCTGCGTGATGCTAGCACCTCAAAGGGGTTGCATGCTATGGAATCCATATAGGGATTTGTTGTATTCGGCAGTTTTCTGCAGCAGTCACAAGGGAGTGATGGGGAGCGGTAGGCAGATTTTGGAAGACTACTAGAAAATGCTGCACAACCAAACAGCGCTGCACTATTTAGGAGAGCCTTTTACTAAAGAGTTGTGAGCTTTTTGTCTCATAGCCTTAATCAGGCCTTTGGCTGTGGCTGCCCAGCCTGAGGAGGTCAGACCTTCCATCCTGCCATTTGCCTTCAATAAATGTCCCTGGGCATTTATTCAGCTTCAAGCAGGAGCTTCTTTGGTTCTGCTTTGCACACAGTTTCCATAGATGGCATCTCAGCATGTCAGTGAAACATCAATGAGCTGGAAGAGCAGGCTGGTTAATTAGCATGCAAATAGGCTCCCTCCTTAATGAGAAAGAAGCTTTTACTAGCTCACTGAGCCCCCAACACATGAGTTCCTGCTATGTCCTACAAATAACATTTTTATAGGTCAAAGACACACGTGAGCGCATTTTTGCCCCCACATTGCTGGCATTGCTGCACATACACCACCTGTATCTGAAGTGTGAATCCTGCCTGGTAACACTGGACAAGGAAGGCCAGGTAAAGTCATCCCAATATAACCAATATCTTTCAGTGTCAGAGGTAGCATTTTTATAATTGAAAAATAATTAGCTCATTAAGAGGTCTAAGGAGCTTTTCATTTATCAGCAAAGTCCTGCTCTAATGGCCACACTGGTAAAGAGCAGGAAACAATCACACCCCACAGCCACAGAGCAGTCTAGCAAAGCCCATGGAAAGGTGCTGGAGCAGAGCCCTGTGATCCTCCCCTGGGTGACATCTGCGTGAGGCACAGCCCCTGAACTGCAAACTGCTCTGGAAATGTAGAAATGTATTTGTGCCATGTTCTTAACCTTTGCTTTATCGATCATTAGTGGAGATAGGCTACCTGGGCAGACAGACTCTTGCCATCCTTCATTCTTCTGCTTTGCTGTGATGGCATATACAACAGGTTCTGTGCATGCTGTTTTGGGGCTTTGCATCGTCTGGGGAACTTTTTGCTTATTTTCAAGTTTTCTGAGGAAAATAGGTACTGCATGAATCGTGGGGGGAAACGGCTCTTGTAAAAACCACCACGAGAGCTATGAACATGAGTATTAATGCACTCTTCTATTTTAACCAAGTTGGCACGTTAGCCAGTAAAAGCCTATTGCCTCTGCACAGCCTCCATTTTGACACTGTGTTGATAACAAGTTGGATTTTTGGAGAAGGGAGTCACGTAATAGAAGAGGTTCAGATTCATGCAGAGGGCCTGTTGATGAATTAGTACATCATCATCCCAAATCCATATTCACTAACAAAAGATTTGTTTGTTTTTGCCTGAAGCCAAGTTATACACACGCACACAAATATATATATATATATATATATATATATAAAAGATTGTGAAAGTTCCTGTTGGATCTGAAAAGAAACATTTGTTTTGCTCCATAAGTTCTGGATCCTTCTCAGGGTCCAGAGTTAAATAGTTACTGATGTTTACTGGGGAAAGTGTTCAGTTTCTACAATGCAAGGGAGCATAGAGTTTGAAGGAGTGACATGCTAGAAGTCTTCCACCGTTGCTGTTGTTTAGTAAAATCAGAAAATATATGAAATGCATTAATTCCATGAATTAGACAGCAGTTGTCCCTTGCTGGAAAAGATAAAACAAGTGGAAATTAACCTGGATGCTCAACTACTGATCAGAGACCAAGGGCGACAGAGGGGAAGCATGGAAACATTGCTATGCTGCTGCCAGCAATCTGTACTGCCTCTGCATATACTTTGGGGAAAATAGAAGAATCCTTCTCTGTAGCCACGTGTAGCTACAGAAGCACTCCTCAGAAATGTCTCTGAGCCAGCAAGCTGATCTAAAAAGACTGAAATAATCCACTTAGAATCCTGTTTGCCATAACAGTCTCTATACATGCAGAACAAGCAGACAGAAGTATGCAGGTCAATGCATTAGGTCCTACCATATCAAAATCCCACTGACAGCACCACTATCTTCAGTCTGCTGCTTTGCTGGTTCACATTCATTAGAAAGGTAGAAATCACAGAATCACATAATCCTTAGACTTAGAAATTAAAGGGAGATTGCAAGCACTAATTTATAAATCATCTCTCTTCTCTGTGGCAGGACAAACTATTTACTTTTACATAGAGTATATTATCCATAATTATAGCAAGTTCCAAGAAATATAAATGGAATGTTTTCCCCAGAAGCAAAGTACACTGTTGAAGAACCACAAGTAAAAAAAAAAATAAAAAAATAGTAGTTTGGAAATAATTTAAATCTATATAATAAGCACAATATATCAAATATTCTTGATCTACTAAATTTTAATTTTAGTCTTAATGTAGTACCAGCACTAACAGCCTCCACTCCCTCCCTAATTTCTAAGAACTGAGGCTGGCTATGTAAAATATGATTAATTCCATGTTTAGAACAACATACCAAATACAGATATCTAAAGTAAATTCTCAGAAAATGAAGAGCGTCTTTCAGCAAATGTCGATAGAAATGTATGCATTTCCTTTGGACTGCAACCCCCTTTTCTTTCATAGATTACAGCATATAATCATCTTAAAATGCTTATTTTTGAGAAATTTGGGTGTGATTAAATATATTTGTACTGATCAGCCTCTACACTTTCTTGTTTCATCAGAAAGCCTGGTACAAACATCAGATCTACAATATACTCTTGAGGAGGAAGCAGAAGCCCAGTTACTCCTTGAGGAGAGTCATCAACCAATTTAACTTCATTCCAACCTCTGTTATACTCGCCACGAACTAAACTACAGCCAATTCCAAGTCTGTCTGCTATCACCTAAAAGAGAAAGAAAAGGTGTTAATCATTTAGTACAATTGGCTTGTGTGATAGCGAGTGATGCTTAAAAAGAGCTTTCTTGATACAGTCTGTGGAAATATCTGTGGGGTTTCCAAACTGCAAATATTTAATGTTGGTTGTGCTTAGACAGACTGCTTATAGCTGCTGTTTCTACTACATTCTATGCACTGCATAAAAACTATTCATTTTTACTCTTCTCAGACACCAACATATTCATGCATCAGCCTGTCTTTCAGATCTCAAATGAAGAACAGAATCCACACTGCACTGAAAGGTATTCTTTTTCCTGGAACACTCTGTTCTGCACAATATTCTGAAGAACCGTTAACACAAGTAATGATATGTGTACCTTGCATATTTTGTATGCACTGTTAAGTGTAGAAAGGTAACATTTTTTATCAGTGTTAAATTTAAGGTCGCTGCTTCACTCCAAAGCATGCTCTTTGCTCTTCAGCACCTTCAGTGTATGAAGCAATGAAACATGAGGTGAACTAGATAGAACACCTCCGTGGCCTCAGCTCTAGGTTGTCCCCAGCAGTGCTGCAAGGGCTTCCAGATACAAAAAAAAAACTCACTTTCTCAGAATGCATCTGCTGTGAAGAAATAAAATTCTGAAAGATTTTTACTTTTACAAACAAAGACATTCCAGACTGAGATTGCGGAGGCTTTAAGAGAGAGGATTTGTCCCTACAAATGTTTCTTTGGAAACATAATGGTGAGAGGACAGTGGATGGTAAGAGAACTTCAGTACTGCTTCAGCACAATTAATTCCTTCTCTCATACCTCCACAGTGCATGTCAGGAACTTTCTCTCCCCGTGAATGTCATATATTTTGCATTGTACTCTTTCTCCCTCTATACTATTTCCTAGGTCCTCCCCACTTAGTGTCTAAGCCCTTCTTCTCTTTTTCTTTTCATCCAAGGAGAAGAGGCCAGCTACCCAATAGCCGAGGAAAAAGGAGAGCACGGATAAACAGGCTGACATGAAGACAGAGGAAGAAACAAAGCTTTCTAGTCTAGGCAACTGGAACATAAAAGCTGTTATGCATTGTCACAGAATACTGGACAGATAATGAATAGAAATGGTCCCCGCATATTTACATTTGCAGCATCCAAAAATACCCCAGGAAACTGCATAATTCAATATTTTACAGTTTACAGAAAATATAAAATGTTTTGACTACCAAACAAATATCTTGACTTTTTGCCATTTATCAAGTGTTCTGCTGATATCACTTAAGACAATTTAATGAGAAAAAGAATGTTTACAAAAAGAAGCAATTCTGGCTTTTGTTCACTGGGAAATCAATTTTGCCAGTAAAATATGTATACACTTCTGTAGACTTAGACATATACACAAGATATTACATTAATATAAATATTAGATTACTTTAGATTACACTGATGCAAACATACTCTAGTTTTAATATCCGTTTAGCAAAAATAACATTATGTTATAAAGTAAATGTTAACATACCTTGAAAAGTAAAGCCCTGTGGTAAAATGTTCCTTTTTTAACTTTCCCAATAGGCACAATGTTGGATTTCAGTTCAAATTTTATTTCACTTATGTGTAGCTCCCAGCTGAAATCGTGTAGTTTGTCTCTTTCAATTGCACCACCCATTTTGTCTGCAACAAACCTGTTCCAATGCACACCAGGATCAATTAAACCTACAATGCCTCTTGAATTTATCATAAAATAGAAGGTACAGAAGCAATAAGAGAATGATATATACAACTCTAACACTGTTGCTCTGAATGCTGCAATTGTTTTATTTAGTAGCCTTTTTTTTATTTATAATATTATCTACAGTTAAACATAACTGTAAACATAAATATCACAGACCAAAGACAAAGCTGCCAGCGGTGATTCTAGAGAGGTCTAGTGTGAGCACCAAATACTCAGAGAACATCCTCATCAAAACTGAAATCAGTGAGTAAATAGTTCAGAAACTAATGTTCACCTCTGCAGATAACAGATTATTTGAGCAATGTAGTGCAACCCCCAGCCCTGGCATTTGTTTGAAATTTTAATTAAAGCATGAGAATATGTGACAAAATAATCATAGACAACATTCACAACATGGAAAGTAACTACACCCAGAAAGGGTACCTCAATCTCTACATGTGTTTTCTTATGCCAAAGCCAACATTTGGGCAGGAGGTTATCTTTATCCTTAAAAATAAATAAATAAATAAATAGTTTAAATAAAGAAAGAAAATCAGAACCCACAAGCTATGCAAACACTGCCAAGAGAATGCCTTCTGGGTGACTGTGCACAAACAGGATCCAACTCTGATTTGTACATCCCTACCTCCTCTCACACACATCTTCACCTCCCCTCTGCCACAGCTCCTCTATGCACAGAGCTTTGTTCCTCTCGGTGTCCTGAGATGAAAGCATGGGTATTACTGAGGGCTGTAACTCCGAACAAGGTGCTGCAGAGCTGACATGACAGTCACTACCTCAGACCGGGAGCAAACTTTTTGCATCACTGCCTCCATAGTAAACCTATGCAAACAGGTTTTAGTCTCACATGCATGCAAAACAATTCAAGGGGTCTTATTTCTCAAAATCCAGGGTCTAGGGAGGTACTGGTAGCAGCAGCAGCACAGGAGTTATTGCGGAGCAGACTGGATGTAGTACTGTGAAGCTAGAAATTACAGCGTGAGCCTGAAGAAGCAAAGGGGTCCAAAATAATCTCTTGTGCTGCTCTTGCCTACAGCCAGCTCTCAGTAAAGGGAGTGAAGGCCCCTCAGCTTACATGCACACCACTCCTGCACGTGCACAAAGATGTGCTGCACTTGTTTAAAAGGAGGCAGCCAGTACCATGGTGCATTCCCTAACCCATGCCAGTTTCCTCCCAGCAAAGACAGTATGGATGTGCCTGGGCTCCTGCAGCTGTCTCCTTCTTCCCTGATAATTCAGCACATGCTACCCAGACACACACAGAAAACCCAGCATATGAATACAAATCCCTGCAGAAAACATTCTACTTCAGTTCTTGATAATCGTTTCACCAGCTTGTGTATTTGCAAATATTTCATCTGTATGTCTGAAGAGTGGATTTGAAGGAGTATTTTATGAGTTCCACCTTGAGAAAGACGGTGTAGTTTATACACAGCTAGATAGTTAAGAATGAATACTCGTCTTGTCTAATTTTGCAATCAACAGAGAAGACAGTCCTCATATCATAGTGGACCGCTTGGTTAAAAATGAGGATAGTAGAAAGAAAAAAACAAATTTTGAGAGACTCAGTGGGATCTGACGCCAAACTCTCCAGGAAACTGCTAAGATAGTAAAGGTTAAACTAAGGAGAAGATGAAAGAAACCACACTGCTTGGAGATGACAGTGATTGGTGCCTAGGCTGAATGGCCAGCACTACTAATGAATCACACATTGATAACAAGTGTGTGCACACACATCATTGCAATGTTCTGGCACTATTAAGTCATCAGGATGTTAATTATAGTAGCACCTGAAAACTCCTTTTAAAACTGTTCTGTGCTTTTGGTATAGAAAACAAAATACAAGAGAGTTCTTACCCCAAGGTATTTTTAAACTTACAGAGCAAGAAGGATCTTAAGACAAGGAACAGACATAAGTTGCAACAGTCTCAACCATTGTGCAGTTTTTTCTTCACTGATAATGCTTGGTTAATTACAGACTTTTTTTCTGCAATGGTTACATCCCACTAACTGGGTGCATGCATAGACAGCAGCAACTGCACAAAGTTCTACATACTTAGGGAATTAAAAGGGCACCTCCTGGGAATCTGGACCCCCTCTTGCAGAACAAAATTTTTGCATTTGGGTCAGTTTTTTTTTAAACCCTCATCCAAAACCCACTGGACTCAACAGAATGTTCACAGCAATTTTGGGGCTGTGACTAAATAATGGCAAGTAATGCTTCTTTCTAGTTGTTTGCTTTAAAATCCAGGGGGAAAAAAAACATTAGTTTCTCTCCTAATGTTTGATTGCTGTTCAACAACCTTCAGGGCATTATCACAGCCAAGATGACAAGTAAGAATAAGGGTCATCTGCATTATCACAAAATATGTGCAGTGTGAAGAGGAATGAGAGGGGATATATTTCATGAAACAAGCTCTCTAATAAAAGGAAATTCTCAGAATTAAAATATTTTAAATACTTTAAAGACAGTCTTCATTGTGCATTCATTTGGAGAACAAACAGGAAAGTTTACAGTAAAATGCTGGAAATCCTGACTTACCAGAAATGCTCAATGGAAAGGCTCATTACAGATGTATAGATGTCAAAAACCTGAAGCTGCCAACATGAGTATTTTCAGAATGAGAAAATTATACCCCTTTGTTGCAAATGATACTTTAATTACTTTAAACTAATTATAATAAAATAATACGAAAGAAACAAAATCAAAAATCATATTAAAATACCAGGCCAAAGCTGTTTTTTGATTCCAATTATGGGTGGGAAAAAGAACAAACTTGAAAAAGTTGTCCTGTGAAAAGAAAACTGTTATTTTACCAAATCAACTTTGTTGCATTATCTTTAGAAATATAATTAGGTACTCACTGTGCAAGAGCCACAACCTGTTCCCGAGTAGTGGCGAGTGGTAGAATTGTTTTAGAAGCATCATTAATGTAATTCATTAACATGAAGTCGGGTGGTGGTTGCCACTGGACATCTTCCAGATTTATTTCATCCTGGACTTCAGACATAATCTCAACTTCTTTCATTTTTTCTTCTTCTTTCTTCCCTTTCCCTTTTCTTACATAGAAAAAAAAATACATGAGAGTACTGTTACTTCTAAGGTCCAAATCCTGAACAGGTCCCATAACCAACTAGCAGAAGACTAAATGAAATGCTTGCTTTGCTCAGATAAAACACTGTGCATTTTACAAGTTTCATAGGAACTACAAAAATCAGCATCTCACGGGGGCTATTATTAAGGTCCATAGAATCAGATATTTTAGGATTTTTTATTTGTGGGAATGACTAGAATTTGTGTTTTATAAGCATTATGTCTTTTTTCAGCATGCATCTTGAGTAACTCTACAGGGAAATATGACAAAATTCCTTTCATTTCTTTCTTTCTTTTTTTTTTTTAAATCCATCATTCTTGGAAGAAAAAGAAAAGAAACAAAGGGCCACAAGAGAGTGTGCTTCAGGGTACAATATAATTACTGTATGCTCTTCAAATTATTCTTAAAATTTTTACAATGAATGGCACCCTTAAGACTTAAGAAGGCATTGTACAAAGCAGAAAGGCATTTACCATTATCAGCAGTCTAATTCAAGCAATTTGCCTTCAGAATATTTTTGAACTTTTACCTATTAAGATTTATCATATTCACAAAAAGTCCTTTTCATAGGTTTCAAAAAAGTACATTTTTTAGAAGGACAACCAATTGAGATTTAATCTTCAAAATATAGAAAATTCACCACTGTCTTAAATAAACTGTTCCTAATTCCACTTGCACTCCAAAAAAGCAGGCAAACTGTTTTTGTTACCTATTTTGACCCTATAGCTAGGGGTCCTTATAATAGTAGAACAACCAACTACTACTCAATTTATGCACTTAGGTATTATGCATAAAAATAACTTGTTAAAGGGAACAATATCAGAATGGACTCTCACCTGTCCAGTATCTGATTTACCAGCTTTTCAAAATAATAGACATCTATAGATAGCATATTTCTTGCTCTTTGACTGTTTTTTTCCCTGCTCCTCCCCTTTATCCTCTTAAAACATTCTTTTCCCAATGGGAAGCGTGCCAAGTGATTGTGCTACAAGAGGAACACAATCTTTTTTACTCAAATGATGGTTGGATCGCTTTTATTCTCCTTCATCCCAATTTTTCAGGAAGAAAAAACTCAATAGAAGGGTGCTCACCCTTCTCTTACTGGTTTGTTTTCTTGCTGCTTATTTCCTGGAGGTACGACTCCATTCTGCTCCTTGGTGAAGTGGCTGTTTTAACATCTTCTACATCTGTCTCTGTCCTGCTCCTCAACAGTCCATTATATGTGTCTAAAAATTTGTCCCATAAAGAACTGCATCTTACAGCTGAAGGCTGTAAAATGAACAGTGACCGTTGCAGTAGGCTTCTGCTAAACTTTTCATATCCTTTCTTTTTATCCCCATTTTGTTATGAGAATTACGACATCAGAGGAAAAAAAAAAAAAAACAACACTCCTATTTCTGAAAATTGCCTTACTGCTCATGATGAAGTTGTTCAGAAAGTGGTGAGGTGCTGGCACAGGCTGCCCAGGGGTGTGGATGCCCCATCTCTGAAGGTGTTCAAGACCAGGTTGGATGCCAGATCTGGAGGTTGGTAGCCCTGCCTGCGGCAGAGGGGCTGGAACCTGATCATCCTCAGGGCCCCTCCCAGCCCAAGCCATTCTATGATTCTATGACATGCTACAAATGCAAAGCAGTACTGCAGAGGAGAATTAACCATGGTAAATAGTTTTCAGGCTGCTAGGATTCCTGTTTTGCAAGTTCAGTACAAATGTCCTGTAGAACACCAGAGAGCCAGCATGAGGAAGACAGCAGCCAATGCACTATACTGCCACCAAAGAACAGCAATTGCTCCTTTTTTGTCTTCTTTTGTGCACAATAAAATCTCTTGCCTGTCTTTCAAAAAGGAGTAAATATGAGCATTGGAAAGTATATTCTTTGAATGCTCTGTAAGTATACAGCATGCAAGAGATACACGTTTATCAGTCTATGTTAAAGTTAACATTTTAGTTCAGTCACTGTATATATCAGATACGCAACTGTTTGATCAAAAATGTTGCTATCTGCCTATGCAAATACATGTCAAACTATCAGCGAGGCACTTTCTCTACATCTAATTCAAACACTTCCAGCAGACAACTATAATTCTCCTTTCTCTTAGCTTTCAACTACAGTTTATATAAACCAGTATCACTTTTCAAAAACAGTGGTTTTAAACTGTGTTCAGTGGTACTTTGCAAAATAATGTTGAACAGAAACGTATGATCAAAGGAAAAAAATATGTAGAAAAAAGTATAAGCATGTTTAAGACTTGGAGTCAGCCACTGACCTCTAAGTAACTTCCATATATCTCACAAATTAATAGTAATAATGATGTATGAATTATGGATTCAAAATGAATGACAATGGGGTTATAAATCATGCAACTTGATTATGACATTCAAAAGCAATTATTTTATACTTGAAGAAAGAAGTCTTTGTATCCATGCAAGTTTACTATTGGGAAATTGAGCCAGGCATTTGTTTTTGCCTAATGAAAATTTCTGCTTTCCACAAGAGTTAAGATTGCCAACAATGCAGTTATTTATTTACTGTGTAATTGATACAAATTATATTGGTCACTTCACAAGTAATGCCTCCTGTATATTTCCATGGAAACTGCAACAGATTTGATAGAGAAAATTCTCAGCTATAGAACATTATTTTTCAGTATAGTCACCACCACTAGCAATGCATTTTCACCAGCAATGAACAAGAGCCTGCATGCTGTGCTCACAGAAGTCTGCATCGCTGCCCAGAATATGGTTTGTCTCTCATGTCACTGTCACCACTGCTGAAATGCATCACCCACTACTCACTGGGCTCACATTTATGTTCTGGTCTCCAGAAACATTCAGCAAGCATCAGTGAACATCAATGGGTGCAATTTTTTCCACTTGGAGGAATTCAATTCCACACCTTTGCTTCACATATCCTTTCAAGTGAGACACCATTTTGTCAAACTGCCCCTTTGCTGTCATCTGGAATAGGATATTGGCGAGAAGGTTCAGCCTCTACTGCCATACCACCAACATTCGCTTCTGACACTGTGGGCCAACACTACAAAATAGGAGGTATTATGTCTGGAGCAGCCCTTGTACATTAAAAAGCAACTACCTAAGGGTGCCCTCACAGAAATAAACACACTATCTTGTCAGAACAGGTCTCTAAGCTCAGCACTTTAAGACTGTGCAAAATAATCTCAGTCTCTAGAGCCTCTCCAGAAATGACACAAATGCCCACAAGTACAGAGCAAATATTATTGGCTTTGTACTTCCCCATCACTTCTGCTCCCTTTAAGTAAACTGTCATAAACATGGGATGGACATCAGGAGGACCATCCAAATCAGCAGATGTTACAGTAGGCCTGGTAAGAGACTAAAGATGCTTCCTTTGCATCCCAATACAAGAACCTTGCACAACATCCAGGTGGCAAATAGTTCTTTTTTCTTTTGTCTTTTTCCTTTTCTTTTCTCTGTCTTAGCAAACAGTTGTTATCTCAACCCACGAGTTCTTTTTTGTTTCCAATCTCTCCCTTTCTCTTGACTGGGAGGAAGTGAGCAAACAGCTGTGTGGTGCTGAGCTGCTACTAGGTTAAACCACAACAAACTCATTTCAGGTATTTAATATGAAATGATTTAAACTGAATTCCAGAAGTACATACAGAATTACTAGCCAAATTGTAACTCAGTAACTTTTGGCTAGCTTAATCCCGCAATTTGGTTTGAAGTCAGAACTGCAACACTTGACCATCAGCAGCTATTATCTATCAAAAATTTGCATTTCATTTCTAAATGAATATAATTCAGAATGTAACACCTTAAAGCTTTTTCTCTACTGCGGGTTATGCGGACCAAAAGACCTTCTTCCATATAGCTCCTGTTATTCCTCCACTGGAGATACCATTAAGCTATTGAGATCACAAAGCAAGTTCCAATTTTCTCTTGTCTTTCTTTACAGCACATTTAATCTCCCAGGCACATACAAACTCATACAAGCACAGAAATACACAGCAGTGCAAGAAATCAGCAATTACCTCTATCAATAAAAGGTCTGTATAAATAGTAGCATATCACAGTTCACGGATGAACTCCAAGCTGAAAATTGCAACCGTGGTGCCCTTGTTCCCATGGCAGACACTCGCCTTTTTGCAACCCTGAAACTATTAGTATTCTGTAATCTATCAGTGATGAGAATTCACAGCCCTTAGAAGTGGCTAAGGACCTCTATACTACAAAACCAGATAAATTTGGAAGTCAGGACCGAGACCCACAGAAACCAACATAATAAATGGTTGTACTCCTAAGTTAGCAAACATAAAATCTGAGTACAGTTGTAGGCTGTGTAGTGTTCCCATCAAGAATTAGACACCATCCCCCAGATTGCAAGGAGGTCCATTCGGACCGGCTTTGCAGTCCTGAGCATTCCCCTGGAACTAGAGATGTACTCCTGCCTTCTCTAAAAGGCACCCCTGCAGCAGTGACTGTGCAGCTGCTCAGTTCAGGTGAACTGAACTGAAGGTGAGTCAGTTCAGCTGGAAGACTATGGTTCACTTTTCCACAGTAACAAAATTTAATTAAAATACTTAATTTATAAGTCATTAAGACAAGGACAGAAAAAATGCCTTCACAGACAGAGCTTTCTACTTCATCTGTTTTGCCTTTCCAGGGAAGCTAGTGAAACTGCGACAAACCAGAATAAGACTGCTAATCCCCAAGCATCAAGCAGGGTCAGGCTCAAATACTTTTTCTATAGAAGAACAGAATGAATTTTCCACAATGAGATTAGAGATTTGTATCTATTTGGTAGAAGACGACCTGCTCACTAGATCAGACCCACAAAAAGGACTAGTAAGACTGTACCTGATGTACTGTATGGATCAGAGGGAGCTCTCCAGAGCGAGGCATTTTTAGGCTCACTGCTGTCAAAATTGAGATAGTACTGAACACACTCTTCACTGCTTTCAGTCACTTGTAGAATTTCACTGGAAGAAATTTACTCTATGAAAATCCACTCTATGGATGTGAGCAGTAGAGGGACTTCTCACTCATAGGTGTAGCTTTTTTATTGAGAAAGAACTACCCTAATTTCCCTGTTGCTTAATTGTCAAGTTGGAAAATTATTGCATTTCACTGCCTTCTAGGGATACTGAAAGGAAAAACAGTCAAATAAATGAGAGATGTTCAAATACAGTATGGGGAGGACTAATAACTACTTAGAAAGACAAAATGAAGATTACTGCTATTAGGTTGTGAAAGAAAGACCCTGAAAACCTATTTAAAATTGTATTTGAGCTATCGTACTCTGTTAGGAAACTGTGTATTACTATTTTCAATCAGAATTATATTTTTAACTTCAGCACAATAACAAAACACTGATAACTAGTAAATTGCAATACCATACCTTAATTTTTCTCTACTACTTTTTCTTGAAGTAAAAGGTGACAAAGTAGTCTGTTCATAAGATAAATGCTGTGGCTTTTCCTCTACTGCAAGGACACTGCAAAGAAGATAGTATTTGCATGTTAAATTATGAAAATAGAGCTTTGAATTTAAAGGACATTAAATATATTAATAAGAAATATGTAAGAGGAAGAAATAATAGAAATAAACACAATACTGATTCAGAGATCAAATATAAAGCACAGGATACCAATGATGGACAAGTAACTGAGTAGTAGGATTGAAACTAAGGTGCAAAGGCAATAAGCTGTATGAAAGTCAAAGAAAGAAAACCCAATAGTTAAAAGACAAGCATAGAGATCAACAAAGAGCACAAAAGGTTAATTTGTCATAGATATTCTCAGACATCTTTATGGTGTCGTATACAAGCTTAAAAGGGAAGCTTCTGATACTGTAAACCAAATATGTGATGTGTTGACAGAGAAGAAGATTTTGGATTTGCAAAATACTGGTAGAGGATTCTTTGATCTGTGGGACTGTTTATACAAAATGACTCCCAGTTAAACAAGGCCAATACCAACTTCCTGCATTCAAATCTAAGATTTGTTAGGCTGGTTTCAGCTTAAACAGAGAAGGAATTGACACTGATTCTCTATCAAGCCCAAAAGCCTTGTGCTGCTTCCTGGGACGTTGTGCTTAAAATTCCATGCATTTGTCTGCACACAAAGATAATCAAATCATAGGTTTAATTGTTGTGTGTTGATGTTCTGTTTTGATGGCATAATTATTACAGCAGATGACAAGCTCTGTTATAGCTATTAATAAAATGAGCGTTCCACCATGAGAAACCAAAGGGTGCTCAGTGAACGAGTCTTCTTCACTAAGTTTTCTAACAGAAAACAGAGCAAATCAAGAGAATAAGTATTCTCTGTCTGAAGGGAAAAAATAGTGATTTTACAAATTTTTCTTTTATGAAATACAAATCTCTTGCCTTGTAGGACAGGTAGCACTCCGTTGAAATTGAAATAGATCTCTCACAGTACAAACTATGTAGTACTTTCATATTGGAAACAGTGGAATGGATGGAAAAATGAATTACTGAAATAAATATTACTACGTTACTCACTTTTCTTGCGGCTTAGCATTAATGAAGATTATGGCCCGACGGTCAGCAAGCTCTTGCATACTCAGTTCCTCCAAAGACAGAAGTTTTACGCCGGGTTTTATCTACAAGAAAATTACAGCAAAAGATTCAGTGGTGTTCTCAGTTAGAAGTGAAGACAAAAAATAGTTTAAGAGCCATATAACATTTCTTATCTTCAACAGAAGACTTACATGAGAACTTATAAGAATCATTCTAAATATACAAAAACAGTATTCTCCCTATTTGCATTTTCCTTCTTCAATTTTCTTAGAAAATATAATTTGTAAATAATCTAGCTTGTGATTATTGTTACTGTGTCATTCTAAAATCTAGGATAAGGTAACATTCCTGACTTTGAAGACACTGCAATTTAGGATGGAATTTTCAAAAGTAAGTAAAAGCTTTAAAGGCATGCATTTCACTGATCTCTCAGTAAGAATAATGTTTTTAATTTTTTTGGGCATTTTATAAAGTACTTCCCTAATTTAAACTGAAAATACTAACTTATGATACATAGTGGAGCCAGTCTTCATATATCAGCAGTGCTGTGTGAGAGAAAAGGTCATGACCAAGGTGAAAATATGAACCCTTCTTTATGTAAAAATAAACAAAAAGTCCATAGGTCATTCAGAGTCAGATTGCTATCAAATATACTGCAGTGAAAGATACCAGAAGAACTAACTTCTGAGAAAGTCCCTGGTAAGGAACTAGGAGCTCAGCAGATTACACAGGATTGTAAGGAGATTGGGAAGAAGACTGTAACTAGGGAATAGCATAAAGATGATAAGATTTCACCATAAAGAAAGATAAACGAAAGAAATTATTATAAAACCTGGAGACAGCATAACAAGAAAACAAGCAAAGTTATTTTAGGTAGCCAGATGCTGGCTTCCGTTACAGTCTTCTTTCTTTTTTTCAAAATGAAGAAGAAAATTTTATTGTTTCTAAGAAAAGTAATTTAAAGTAGCTTACCTTCCCATAATCATAGAATCCATCAGTAATGACATTACTTGATGATAAATATCCCATTTGGCTGTACTTCTGGGAAAGATTGTTATCAAGTAGCCTTTCCAGAGCAGCTTCACTAAAGTTATTTCTGTGCCCTGTTAACCGATTAACTTCTTCTAGGATGTCTAGCGCACTGTTAGACAAAACACAATGGCTAATTCATCATTAGGTACCTATTCATTGTTATTACACAGTTTTCAGAATTACCAAGACATGGACTTAATTCCAAGAGCTAGCCTAATGCTGTTTAGACCAGCAAGGAGCTTGTTGTGCTATGATCAAGTCTTTTTCTAGAGGAGAAAAAATGTCTTGCAGTGCTCAAAAGCAAAACCAAATTCTTTTCAGCAGTTGAACTGTTACATAAAAAAATGCTAACAGAGTGCCACAACCTTATATGAGAAAGATGCTGGGTACTACAGAGAACTGGAGAAAAGAAGAATGTCAAAGCCAAGTAAAAGAAGTTCTGTTCAGAGCTGACTGCAGCATATAGTTCAGGAATCCCTCTCCATCTTGTAACAACTGTAGCAATTGGCAGACTCCAGCTCCCAGTCAGGCAAGGTGTGAATCCTGGTTTAGGGCTGCTCCTGTGCTTGTGAAAGAAACTGACAGAGATGAGCTGAGCTCAGCTTAGCACAGAAACATAAGCAGTTGTGGAAGCAGAACCAGGCTGGCGATAGTTCTGCAGCATGGAAGCAGAAACAAATGATCACGGGTATACTGGAGGGCAGAGATTTATTCCTTGGCACTGAAATCCACATACTGATAGCTTCTAGCCTGTGAAACTTAGGAAAAACTTACTAGGAAGAGAAAGAAAGTTGAATCAGGAGAAACACAGTTCAGTTTTGAAACTGTTTAGGAATTAAAAAAAACACATCAGGAAAAAAAAGAGGAAGATGTATTCATGTGTCAAATTTGTATGTGTATGTCAATATACTCGCAGAAATTCTTCATATTCTAAGGAATAAATTTTATATATTTTTTATATATTTGTATATATAAAATGGACTCCACAGTTGGCCGGTCCATTTCTCTCTCTGTGCTACAGAAGGTGCCTCAGCTCTGCACACATACAAGATAGACTTCTGAAAGTGTGTTAGATGAAATCCAGATAACAAGCTTTGCAGACAAGGCAAGTGACAACCATCTCTTTTATAAGAGAGCACTGGGAGAAAACAACCACCATTCAGACTATTTGTCATAAAGCAAATGTCAACAAGATCAGGCAATCAGAATGTAAGATAACAAAGGGATTTCCACAAGGAAAATTGAGTCTAGTGAGTATAGCAATGTCTAAAACACGGCATTAGAGGCATAATGGCCTCACATGAAGGAAGGACAAGCCAAAAAGGGAGAAAGTGCAGAAGCACTAACAATACTGTAACTACCTGAAAACCCAGAAATGGAAATATGAAGACTTCCAACAGGGAAGAAAAAGTAAGGGACAAAACCGAAAAGCCTACAGGCAAATCGAGATACAACCATTCAGGGACCCAAAACTAAAATAAATGTTTCTTATACTACAAATCAAAGAGAAAAATGTAAGTTTATGACTCAGTGTGGGAAGAAAACTCATAACAGATGGCATAGAAAAGACCGAAGCATCTGCTGCCTTTCTTGCTTCAGTTTTGATAAAATAGTTGCAAACAGATGCCTAACAGCAATTTTAATAAGAAGGTGGAAGCAGTAGGCATAACACTAAAGCTTCAGAGGACAAAGGTGGCAATGCCTGAGACTTACCTCATACCGCGTTTTGAAATGGCAAAAGCAACTTTTAAAGTATTTGTAATTATCTTTGAAAATCTGAGGAGACCAAGTGAGGAGCCAGAAGAGTGAGAAGGGCATAGATAGTATCTAGATTTAAAAAGAATGAGCAAGGAAATGGTGGAGATCATTCAGCCAAATTTAAGTGTCTGAAGAATATTATATCAGAATACTAAACAATCAATTTGGAAGCATGCAAGAGATAAGGAGGCTTGTAATAGCCATTACGTATGGTTATAAACAAATCACTTAAGGCCAATTTAATTCTTTCTGTGATAGGGTAACTGACTTAATGCATAGGCACAAGGAGTAGATGTGAGATACGTCTTGACTTTAAGATATGTTGCGACTTCAATAAGTCTTTTCAAACATTCCTATTTGAACAGTCACAAGCAAGACAGAGAAACACAATCTATATGAAAATAACATGAAGTAGTGCCTGATTGGTTGAAAAACTATTCTTAATGTATTATTATCAATAATATGCTGTCAAACTAGAAGGACATATAAATTAGAGTCCTACTCTGATGCAACCAGAAAGAAGAGATTAAATAAGAACAGTGCTGTATGCAAGATATGGAAAATAATTACTGAGATTTAGTTGATGGTGGTATGACCTCAGCTGAAATACCTCATCCAGGCTGGAAGATAACACTTCAAAACAGCGTAAATAACTGAGATTTAGAGATGTGTGACAGAATGATATCGGACTTCAAAACAAAAAGCAGTTCAATGCTTTTGCTTTGTCATGAAAAGGAAATCGAGAAATTTACATGGAGCATGAGGAATTGCACACACTCATTGAATTATTAAGGTTGGAAAAGACCTCTAAGATCAGCTTGTCCAATTGTCCACCTAACACCAATGTTGTTCATTACGTTCCTCAGTACCACATCTACACAGATCTTGAACACCTTCAGGAATGATGACCTCACCACCTCCACGGGCAGCCCATTCCAGTGTCTGACCACTTTTTATGAGAAGTTTTTCTTAGTATCCAACCTGAACCTCCTCTGGCACAATTTGAGGCCATTCTCTCTTGTCCTTGGCTATTACCTGGGACAAGTGGCAGACCCCCAGCTCGCCCACTACCTCCTTTCAGGCAGTTATAGAGAGTGATACGGTCTCCTCTGAGCCTTCTCTTCTCCGGACTGAACAATCCCATTTCCCTCAGCCACCCCTCATGAGACTTATGCTCCAGACCCCTCACCCTTCTCTGGACACGCTCCAGGGCCTTGATGTCTTTCTTGTAGTGAGGGTGCAAAACTGAACACAGTATTCAAGATGCAGCCTCATTAGAGCTGAGTATAGGGGGACAATTATCTCCCTGCTCCTGCTGGCAATGCTATTTCTGATACAAAATTCAGTTAATTTAAAAAATAAAATGCTATCAAAAGGTATTATTAAATTCCACTGAAATTAGGACAAGATATAATTGGACAGAATTGCTGTACGGGATATTTAAAACTAAAAATCTTTCTAATTATAAAGATATCTCAGCACCAGAAGAGGTTACCTCAGAAGCTGTCAAACCCTTTCAGAAAGAGTACTTACAATCACACTGGACAAGCTGAAATATATCACTATAACTGATTCAGTCACAGTAGGCAGACAGACAGCACTACATCTGAGGTCTCCTCCAGATCTATTTTTGAGGTCTGACTGCACAATTCCCTCACATATGGGCTGCAAGCATCTGTGCAGCAGTCAGAGAAATGTCCAGCAGAGGGCGCAGGGCAATTACATATATTTCACTTTAACAATAAGAGTCACCTCACATACGAGTCTTGTGACTTATAGCTAAAAACAGCTTTTCTAATTCAAATAGTAAATATGGAACTTGGAGTTTTCAAGAAGGAATATGACAGATTCTCTTTAAAATGACAGTTCAGTCCATCTTCTCTTTAACAAAAATTAGCCCTTGTGTAATAAAGTACAGTTCACTGTATGCTGAACCTAGCCTGAAATCTGAACTTCAGTTTCAAGTTTATGGGGCATTTGTAGCCCCCATTTTTGACTAATCTAAGTACATCTTCAATAGAAAACCTAATTTGATTACAGAAACAATAAACATATTTATAATTCCTGACAGTTCTTTCTTCAGGCTTGCAGTTTTTCTTCTGTAAAATCAGGACCATTTCAGCTGTACCACTGGCAATACAAAAATAGTTTGTTTACCAAAAAGCACAGCTTAATTTTGTCCTTCTGTTATTAATACAGAAAGATCAAGTTTAATAGAGTTATCTCATTAAAATCCTCCCCCTGCTCCTTGATATTATTACTCACCCTAGCCGGCACAGTTCGACAGCAGTTAGTTCATCGCTTGCACAGACCATGACAGCCCAACAGGCATTTCTTCTGACTTCTTTGTCCTTTGAATGTAGTAGCTCAACAAGTGGTCCCAATCCACCTGCATCTCTTAACTGTAAGAACACGAAGACACGGATGCTGACATATTTCACCTACTTCATTCCAGAAAGAACAACATATTAAATTCTCCATCCAAAGCTTGATTCAAGACTTGTAGACAAGCAATGCTGGGCTGGCAGAAAGGCCATTTGTGGTAGTTCTCTGCTTGTGAGCTGCTCTGAGCTGAAGTGAGGTTCAGAAGTGGCACACATCCTTTCTGACTCTCCTCTTCAGTTATAAGATTACAAAGTAGAAAATGAAGATGAAGAGACGATGCAGCCCAGGACTGCCATGGAGAGTTATACACCTTTTTCTGCTTTCTGTTGCTTCCTAGCAACTAATTTACATCACAATCTATTTGAATTTGTATAGTACTATACGTATGGCAATCTTATTAACATTCCATTCTCTCATGTGCTAGTATCTTTCCTATAAATGCTGGAAAAAATATTGCTCATTTGGATTTCTGAAGATAAAGACATTTTTAAGGACACTGAAAGAGGTGGATGGATTACCCACTCCCCTGATTCATGACCTAAGTAACAGCTTTGACCCTTGAGAGATCTCCAGCTTATGATCTATGAATGCACAGAGCACCATCCCTATTTATGAAAATAATATGACCATTGATAAACAGGGAAAAGTTCAACTAGCTGGATGATACACATGGAGGAACTAATTACAATTTGAGTTTTGTTTGAATTGCATTTATTCTGTGCACATTCAGTATCTCAAATCAAAATTAGGCACTGCCATTCGGGCCCTGAAAGTGGGCAGTATTAAACACTGAGAGGAGCTATGAGAACTTATCATCTTCAAAATACAGCTGTCAGTTGCAGCTGAAAGAAACTTTAATGCTTAATACTCATAAACATAGGGATTAAGATACAGTCCTGGCTGAAACTCATTAAAGCTACAGAAAAGCTGCGTAGGATGAATTTGTGCAGGAAAACGCAACAGTAAAAATAAAAATTGAGGAAAACCTTTTCCAAGTCTTCATAACAAACAGAGGTGAACTCAGCTGAATGAGTAACCATGCAAAATTAATTCCTATCTAGAAACCAACTTTTAGAGCAGACAAACAAAACACAGGGATCCTCAGTAAATGTAACAGAAAGGATTCAGAATTCTTACAAACAATCCCGATCTTGGAGAAGACTTTTACCTCACTTCTTGCGTTAGCATCACAACCAAAGGCAGCCACAGCGAGTGCTGCCCTGCTTTGCACCCGGCTGCTGGCAGAACGTAGCGGCTCTGTGAGCACACTCATCACGCCGTGGCTCTGAATACACAAGCGCAAAGGCTCTTGCATGGCCATATTTGTTAGCACTGCAGCAGCATTAGCAACGGCTTCGTGTCTCTCGGTGTTTAAGGTCTTCACTAAAGGCTCAATTCCTTCAGCTTCTGCAACAGCGCTAAGAAAATGAAGAAAAAAATCTTAGTTATTTTTATGACATTTATTTCCACTTACTGTGTTATATTTACCAACAAAATTAGTCTTGCATTTCAAGAATGTAAAATGTTGTTTACCTGAAATAATTTGAAAGGCCAATGTTTATACTCTAAATCACAGTGTGAAATAGAAACTAAAAGTTGAATCGTGAAAGCCCTCCTTCTGATGCCTTACCTAGATCTGACTCAGAGAGTGAAGCGCCGCTCAAAAGTCACAACTTAAGAAAGTAAACCAAGCCAGAAATTCCTGGATTCTTCAACTTATTAGGACACTGATTCTTTCAGAAGTTTCTGGTTTTATTATGTTGGTCCACGACGTCAGAGGTGGATGTTAGTGGTGTGGCAGCAGAAGCAGAACCTTCCCACCAATATTCTGTTACATTCTGTTGCCATGGGACAGGTGAAGCAGAGAGGTAGTCTGACAGAATGATGTCTGACATGGAAGTGCAAATGAAGCAAAGGTGTGGAATTTCTCCATGAGGAAAAAATGGCATGCACTGACATATATTGATGCTTGCTGAACGTTTATGGAGACCAACCAGTGGTTATGAGCACAGTGAGGCACTGGGCGGTGCACTTCAGCAGCAGCAACAATGAGTCACCTTCACTGGTGCAGATTTTAAAAGCATGGCATGCAGGCTCTTGTTCATGGCTGGTGAAAATGCATAGCTAATGGTGGTGACCATATTGAAAAATAATGTTTTGTAGCTGAGAATTTACCCTATCAAATAGTGTTATCCTGCTCTTTGTATCTGCTGTAGTTTCCATGGAAATAAATAGGAGGCATTACTTTCAGAGCAACTTATATGCATCCCAGTGTGCACTCAGTGTGGCCCATGCAAGCCAGAAGGCTGGACACTCATGCACTAGTACCAAGTTTCATGGTTCCACATCACCAGCCAATCAGCAGCAAACAAGCATTCTCCTTGCTCCCATATGTGCAGCCTGTGCCTGAAGGCTGCTGCTGTGGCCAAGTTCTGAGTTAGACCAGCAAAATAGCTTGTTTGCAAAAAACAAACAAACAAACTGGGGGGCAAATGCTGGGACACTTTTGAGGATCCCTTCATAGAGCTAGGTGAGAGAACAGCCACGCACTGGTGAGGAAGCAGTAAATTAAGGCAGAAGACAGCAGATGTGGGCAACTGTACTATTGGAGGCCACATCTGGAGGATCTAAATCTGATGCACTGCAAAACTAACTTCTACTTGACAACAGAACTAAGTCACAGCAGAAGGAACTGGCCTATGAGTACTTCACCTTAACTCTGCTATTCTGCTGCTGGCATTCACCGGAACAGTGCTTCCTTACCCCCCTTCCCCCCCACAAATCAACTTCATACCAATATCCCACTAATATGTGGGATATATAATATGTTTGAAAGCAGCTGATGATGTCTCTCCTAAATGACAGTAAGCTCTAGACTACAATTGATGCAGACCCTAGAAAAGAGAGGTTGGTTTTAGCTTAGAGGAAACTACTGTGCTCTAACAAATCTGTATCTCAAATGCTGGATAGGCACATGCTTGGAGTTACCACCTCATTATGTATTCCTTGGTTTCTTTGCCAGAGGCAAAAGAGACTACTGATACAAATATAGTTTATATTCTTCAAACATCATAAGATATTCCATAATTTAAGATTCTTGTTAACCTTCTTGCCAAGGCTTTTCTTTCTACTAAAGAACAGACTCATTTTTTTGTCTGCATCGTCTTACATCTGTATTATCTTAGTTCATTTCAGTGGTAATTTTTCTAATGTCACTATAAAACAGCACACCATAAAAACTGAATTGTCTTCCCACTGGGTTTGTACATAAAATTTGATCAAATGATTTCAGGCATATGCCCAATGTATTGTCTGCCCTTAGTAATTTTATATTGGGCTCATCTGTTTGTTAAACAAAAGTTGGTAATGTTGTTAGCAAAGGAAATGCACAGGTGGCAATTTGAATTTTCCATGCAACTGCTTTTTTATATTATCTCTTTAGTACTCTTTCTATCAAAAAGACAATGAAGCCTCCCTGTACAGGCATACCCGAGCACTTTCACAACAAAAAAAATCACACAGACTTCATAAGTTTTACTAACTTTCTGGCAGCACATTAATAGGAGAAAGTTGGATGTGAAAATTCTACATTCACTGGAATGGCTTCTTACCAAAAATCTAATTCACCTTTTGGTAAATTTTACAAAGTAAACACAAGCTTAAAATTACTGCATAAACTAGAGGGAGTTACACTAGCAAAGGCTGTCAAATTGTTGATAAAACACAAAAATCTGAGGAATGATGATGGTCACTCATTTCTGCAAAGTATACAAAGCAAACACAAGGCAAACCCTGCTATATAATCACATTACACGGTGACACGTGCATCAGTGATTTAATGTACCTACCAGCAAAGTGTGGGAGAGACTCACCACACACGTGCACAGCAAGGCATGTCTGTAAGCTATCAGATTTACAGCATTTCACAGTATATACATGTACTTTATCCAGAAACTAAACAAATGGTTTTTCCTGCGTAGTGGATGCATGCAAATTCCGGTGCTTCCAGGATGCACGAGACAGAGCTACTGCTAATGGATTGCATCCCTGCATCTCACAGGTGCAATGCATCCAGCATTTCACCAAAGGGCAGACTTACTACTCCTATGCTACACCCCAGAGCATGCGGATTCTCCAGTAGGAAATCTTAATAAAAACACAGTCCCTACTGACCGACAGAGAGAACAGAGCCAGGTAGTCAACTGCATTATAAGCAGATTTGCTACAATCTGCATAAGGCACAGAAGTACACAGGTACTTAACAAAAGAGCAAGGTGCAGCTCCTCGTGCTTTCAGAGCTGACCTCAGAGCTACACAGCACAGCCAATTTTCTCAAGTGCCACTCAACTTCAAAAAGGTTGAGAATCACCGATTTAGACAATCATACATATTTATTTCAATCCTGCATTCTACTTCCACACAGATTCATTCTGAATCATCATTTTTATGACAGTAGTTTAATCAAGGAGCACAACAGATCACACAGCAACAGGAATTCAGAGAAACGACAACAGCGGGTAATGAGATTTGAAAGTAACCTTTGGGGATAAGAGGGGCTGGAACACGTTGGGAAGCACTGTGACCTACTAAAGGATGTCTGCAGCAGAGTTATGAGGGAGGAACAGAAAACCCAAAGTTCTACTCACTCCTATCCCACAGCCCTCTGGAAAATACAAAAAGGCCACAAAGCTCCAGGTGCTAAAGAGACAGCAGTGTCTGACCTCAACAGGGAACTGAAAGAATGAATATAAATAAGTTCTTAAGATTGCAAAATACTACAACATCAAGACTTAAGTATGGAATAAATTCTCTTCCATCTTGGGCAAAGATATGCACTGTGTAGCTTTTTATTACAAGGAAACAGAAGTGAGAGCAAGAAGCTTTTACCAGCACTGCCTTAGCCTAACGTAGATCAGTGCTAGCCTCTCCCTGCCTCCAGAACTCAGAATTTCTGTTTCAGACACATCCTTCTGAAATGACGCACTTCCATCAGTGCTCGCAGTATAAGACTTCGTCCTGAAGGGAAGATGTAAGTCTTGGTTTAGCTTGGGAGGAAAAAAAAAAAAAAAGTGGGGGGAAGGTAAACTTTATGTGAAAAAAATTATATGGATCCTCAGGAGAGGTGAGAGAAAAGAAAATAAGACAGTGACAAGGGGAAAAAAGAGGATGTTGCATTTAACATCACGACATTTCTTCAAAAAGTAAAAGCTGACTATCTGAATCCCAAACACAAAGAACTCAAATTGGAGTTAAAATAATTAAAGTGTTATGATACGGAATTACACGGCTGTGATCATTAGGGTATAAATTAACAGGGTTAGGCATCTACCTTAACACAGCACAATAGGATTACAGTGGAATTGTTTCAAATGCCTACATTCAACAGCAGCTAAAATATTTTTCATACACATCAATGGAAAAGCAAGCATTAAATGTTCAGATATTAAATATTTAACTTACAGTATTAATTTTAAATATACCTTGTAACAAGATATTTATTTGAAAATTCTCTGAAACATCACTGAGAACTCAAAGAATAAAAGCTAAGAGCCTGGGGAAAACAAAAGTTTTGTTCACTGTCTTTTACTGCACAAATTAAATTCAAAGCAGACAATAAAATTGTTACCAAAACTGTCACAATACAAACTATTTTTAAACAGTTAAGATGGGGATGCATATGATTTTCATTTAACTAAATATGTCATTGTTTTAATTGTCAGGGGTGCCATAGGAAAGCTCAGAAACTGGTAGAGAGCGTTGCGTAAGCAATCATCAGTAAAAATCTGACTAAACATCCAGATTATTGTTTTTTCAGGAGGGCAGATTCTCTGGGGCAAGAGCCACGGCTTTGTTGGCACCGCATCAAGCATAATAGCTCTGCTCCCCGCCCAAGCCTCCCAGCCACGGCAAGAAAGAGAACGGATTATTGACTCTCGGTGCGTACGGACAGATCCAGCTAGCTTTTCCCCCTGAAGAGAAGGTTCAGCATAATGGAGAGAGCAACTGTCCGTGTTGAATTGCTGACAGAAACCACGGAGTCCGCCCCCCAAGCCGCTAAACTGAGCCACCTCACATGGAGCAGAGACGGAGCGGAAGAGCTGTGGTGCAGCTTCACACCACTGTTTGCTCTGGATTTGCTCTGGTTTAATTAACACTTGGGAGATTGACAGTTCATAAAAACGATGATGTTTGTTTCTGTTCCTTCTACTACTACTGAAAATAAATAGGTTTGTATTAAAATTTACTGCTGATTCTTTTCCATGCTGTTTAATTCTCCCTTTTTTGACTGAAGAAAATTTTTTTTTTCCTTAGTAAAAAAAAATAAAAAAATAAAAAAAATCCTTCTCACAAAGGCCACTGGACTCCTTATGGACTTCATTTTCCAAAATGAATTTGCAACTGCGTGTTGAATTTCTGT